CTCGCAGTAGTTATGCGTCTCAGATTGATCCTCCTTTTTCGCAGGCCGAGGTTGATGATGTAATTCGTAATTTAGGGCTTGGCAGGTCTCCTGGCCCGGACTCTATTCCCAATGAAACCATAAGATACTTCTATCGTCTTTTCCCTGCAGTTTTTCATAGATTATTTAATATATGTTTGAATCTTGGTGCTTTTCCACGAACTTGGAAGAACGCCCTTGTTATTGTGATACCCAAGAAACAAAGTATCACTGTTCCACATGTGAATAATCTTAGGTGTATCTGTCTTCTTTAGGTAAATGTTTTGAAAAACTAATTACTAACAGAATTACTTGGCATCTACATAAAGAAAATATTCTTAGTGCTGACCAATATGGTTTCATTGCTCAAAAATGTGCTGAGGATGCACTTCTGCATGTTAGCAACATTGTACAGAGGGGTAAGATGAGAGGTGTGTACACTATTTTAATTTTTCTTGATATTGAAGGAGCTTTTGATAATGCATGGTGGCCTGCTATTCTCAATTTACTAAAAGAAATAAAGATACCTCAAAATGTGTTTAATGTTGTTTCTGATTTGCTGAAAGACAGGACGGTCGAGCTTTCTTTGGGTGGCACCTCAAGTGTTCGCCGACCTCAAAGAGGTTGTCCACTAGGTTCTGTTTCCGGTCTTAAGCTTTGGATTATTATTATGAATGATCTCTTACAGAAACTTTCTGATCTCTTCAGTTGTGAAGTCATTGCCTTTGCAGATGATTTGTTGATTTGTATTCAAGGAAAAGAAATGCAAAAAGCTTTTCGTCTCGCCCAAGATGTTATAGATTTCATTTATCATTGGTCAATAGATTTTAAGTTAAAGTTTAACCATGCAAAATCCAAGACCATGTTTATTGATAGAAAAATACTACTTACGAAGGATATCAATTGCTTTTAAATGACAATCCCCTTGAGAGGGTGAATGAAATTAAATATCTAGGTGTTTTTTTGGACAGCAAATTTAACTGGAAAAAGCATATTTCCTACATTTCTAATAAATGTGAGAGACTTCAGCGTGGGCTGAATCGAATTGCTTGTAATAGTTTTGGTGTTAAATCGAATGTTAGCGCAATTATTTATAAACAAGGCATTGTACCCCTTATTTCATATGGATGTAGAGCTTGGGGATTGTCTTTAAAAAAGAAAATTAACTTTAAACGCCTGCTTCGAGTTCAAAGACGAATTTTGCTGCGAGTTATAAGCGGTTACCGAACTATTAGTTACAATGCTGTTTTCTCTCTTGCCGGATTTCCACCACTGGATTTGTTTATTCTGACTTTTATAGATTATAAGAATAGTCTTGCAAATTACTCCAATTCTCACTTCGATCGTTTATTGCCCTTGTCTGTTTTACCACATCCTTCTGTAAGACAACCAGTACAGATTCTGGATAGTACGGACACTGATGTTAATTCATTCTCATTTGTGCTGTATACGGATGGTAGTAGGATTGATGATAAAGTTGGTTTTGCTTATGTTATTTTTGAAGATGATATTGAAATTGAGTGTCACCAATTTCGCATTAGAAATGAATGTACTGTATATATTTCTGAACTTCTTTGTATTAATTTTGCAATCAAGTGGATAATTAGCCAGAATGGAAGTGGTTCCAGCTACTTAATCTGTACAGATTCACTCTCTTCCCTGGAATCTCTTAAAAATACCTCTTTATGTAATGATATTATTGTCAATATACAGCAGTCTCTCGGAGATCTGGAGAAGAGGGGTATTTCAGTGTTTTTTACATTTGTCCGTGGTCATTCGGGTAATTATGGAAACGAGAGAGCTGATTGGCTTGCTAAGAATGCAACTAAAAATGATATTAACGTTGATGTAAATATTCCAAAATCTTATTTAAAAAAAACATTCAAAGCTAAAATGATTGAGCGGTGGAACTGTGATTATATCTCTTCTGATAAGGGATCTGTTACAAAAGCATTCTTCCCAACTATTTTTGAAAGACTGAAAAGTAAGGACTTGTTGCTCAATTTTAAAGTTACGCAATTTTTGTCTGGACATGGTAAGTTTAATGTTTATCTTGAACCATTTATCTTCCAATTTATGTAATTGCAATCTTAGCGTTGAGCAGGGTGTTTTCCACCTGCTTTTTGATTGCCCACTGCTTGATAAAGCAAGAAATCTTTTGAAATGTAGATTGAAATTCATTGGAATTCATTGGCCGCCGAAATGTTATGATTTTGTATCCTCGATTTCGGCCTACCGAGCTTTCAATGATTTTGTTGACTTTTATTTTAAACACTGTTAATGATTTCTTTATACATTTTTATACTTTTGTATTTACTTGTGTTTTTTTTTCCTTGTTATGATTTCATTGTATTGTTGAAAACTGATGATATTACTTACTATTCTGCCTTTTTCACTTACGATTTGTAAGTCTCGTGCGATACTTTGTGGTGCACGAGGATTTCTTTTTCTTTAAATAAATAAAAAATAAAAAAAACATCCTGATTCGCCTTTTCATATAACGTGACCCCAAGTGATCTGATCTCACGTAAACTATGCTACAAAAATCTAATTCTCTCAGTAATTATCTACAATAATTCCAAGTTTAATCTTAATTCGGAATACAAGTTTAAATGCAAGAATTATTTCAATTTGTAGGAATAGCTTACTCAGAAATTATGTAAAACCGTAGTGCTTTACTTTGCTAGTGCATTCTCATTAGAATTGATGAATTTAACCCTTGACTTTGCCTTTTCTATATTTTCGCCTTCGGGTGAAGGCCCACCAGCGGCCGAGCGGTAAAGTCGCTGAACACTGGTAGTTTGGTCCGAGGTTCGAATCCCGCGAACGGGCTGGCCGCATGGGTGTTTTCCCCATGTGTAACGTGTATACAAACCAGTTTCCCTTAGAAAGTCCTCCACGAAGGCATCCCTCCCCTTAGGCAGATAGCCCTAGTGTGCTTTGCCATAATTAAATACACACACACGCCTTCGGGTGAGCAGTGTGATTGCATCCTAATTGGCTTAATTATCGCGAATGGCCATACGGCATAAAACTGAACTATGCCATAAAAATTCTATGTAATTGTATGCCAATATTGAAAGAAACAATCAATCTGATAAGAAATGGCCGCGACTTGTTTTGAAACTGAGGCGTAGGGTTACCAGCGAGAATATTCCGTTAGGCATTGGTTGTGCCATTTTTGGCGACTTTATCGCCTGCGCCGGCAAAACGGAAAAGTACCGAAAATAGTATACCCTTTTACATTATTTAAAGGCAAATAGTTTTCCAAGATGTTTTACTGTAATCTGAAATTTTTAGGTACAGTTGTTTTACCCCTGTGCCTATAGTTCATATCAAAATTCTTTAGTATTTATTATATTAAGACCATCCAGGAATTTCTGCATTTTTCACTGCATGCTTTTGTGGTATAAATAGTAGTACATCTATCTAGGTGTTGGAAAATCCAGGGTTCAAATCAGAGCATAGGGTATGTTTTATTGCAATTTAGTCTTCTCCCTCCTTAGTTGCACCTTAAGGTGTGGGGACTATGAGGAGTTTTTCACCTTTCTTACTGTGTGCCTTCATGATGTAAGTGGTAGTACATCCAGCTGTGTATCAGAAAAATCTAGAGCTTGATTCCCTGTGAGGGCATAGCTGTTTTTTTATTTTTATTTTTACAAAAAGCCTAATAGACAGTAAGTGGTGTATCCTATAGCTTGTGATAATATTGCATCAAGCTCCTTTCTTTATATACTTTGTGGTTCTTTGAGAAAGATTTGCAGGTTTTGTTGCATTGGTAGAGAGAAAACAAATTGTCAGGAATAATATTATATACATAATTAACAACCATTGTATTTCCTATCATCAAATTAAAAAAGGGGGTAGGCAAAATAAAATTAAACAATCAATATTTGAGCTACAGCATTTAATATTAATATTTTACTAAAATATAAAATAGCCTACAGAAAAGTAATGTAGTATATCTGAAAAGATCTAAAGGAAGAAAATAAGCTGATCTATATTTATTCTGTTGTTTAATATTAAGCAATAAGATGCTTTTACGCACTGAAAAAATAAGGTGCTTTAAAACATTTTTCATCATTCCAGTCTTTTTCAGAGCATAACTGAAAGTAGTTGTCATACCAAAGAAATTGTGCAGTTAGTTATAGTATTTACTGAAGTTCATTGTATAATTTCTTTTGCATCTAAAATCTAGATTCATTGAGTTAGAACACCAATTAGATTAGTACCATTAAAAATGCCACTGATTTATTATTAAAATCATTAAATACTTTTATGAAATTATCCTTATTATTAGCTGGATCCGGTGAAATTACATTAGCTTATCTCTTTATAATCATTATTATTTTTTTAATAATATGTACTTTAGGGCGGCTGGGCAAGTTTTTAGCTTCTTGCATTCAACAAGTATTTATAAAGGATCATAAAATGACAGTGAAGAATATGCCTTAAATTTAAATAAAAATACTTGTTTCATTCAAATGAGTGAAAAAGAGGAATATTATTTGGAAAATTTAAAAAGAGAATAAAAAATTTGAAAATAAGAATTTCTAATTTTTCATTAAAACATTAATTTAAATAAAGAATAATTAACTAAGTCAATGGAAATAAGTTTAAAAGAACTTTTAGGACAAAAAGTAATTATCTATTTGTAGATGAAATATTTTGAAACATTTAATTCATAATGAAATGTTATAGAAGCATAAAATTAAAAAAATTATATGCTATAAAATAATTTATTCAAAAAAATTTAAATTAAACATATTAAAATTTAAAAATGTGTGCACAAAGTAATTCTTTTGTAAATTACAGATAAACACTTGAACACTTTATTTAGTTGAATTTATTTAGTGAACAAATAGTGTCCCATGCAAGTACTAAGTTTTTTTCCCTTTCCAATTTTAACAAATTCATGCTATAAGAAATATTAGAAAGTGCATAATGTTTCATTTCCTTAAAAATATGATTTTTAATTTTAGAGAATGCCCTTTTGCTGTAGAAGCTTCCCAAGGTTTATTGTCTTTAGGTATCAAATTGACTGAAGTTACTACCTTAATGGTAAATGGATCTGTGAATGTGAACAACATAGATTGGTAAGTTTTAGTATTAAAAATTCCTATTGTCTAATCAGTACATAATGATTATTTAGTGTATTGTTAAATAAAGAATTTGCTACTAAAGCAAGTATATTTGTGTGTAAATTTATTATTTAATTCTATCAATGTCTCGTCATATTAAAGGATTGCCGATTTTTTTTTCTCACTAAAACTTGCTTTCATTACCTGCAAAATATTCCAAGTATGTGAAACTGTATAAATGGCAAGTAAGAGAAAGTGAAACTTATAGGTTATATATATATATTTTATTTGTATTGAAGTAGTAAAATAAACATTGATGAAAGTTATGCTTACCTGCTATTTTGTATTTAAGTAGCAAGACCTTTTGAAATGAAAGTACCCTTTTATTTATATTTATTTTATGTTATTACATTATTAATGCTGTTATTACATTTTGATATCTCATTCTCACTGAATGCAAATTGATGCCAATAAATAAGATGCTGGATCAATCAGCATTACTTCTGTTTGAAGTAATATCATAATCACTTTTGAGGGCCTTTTTTGTTCTTTAGATAAAGTTCTTTAGATTAAAATTAAAAATGAATTGTTATATATTTGATATTGTAGACTAGGGGTCTTCAGCCCATGGCCTGCTGAAGGCATTTTAGTGGACCACATTTGAATTTGAAGAAAAAATTGAAGAATTTTAAGAAACTGATTTTAAGAAAAATTGCTTTGTCAGCTATTTGTTTCTTTTATTCTTGATATTTAAAACATATTATTGACGTGCCTGATATCACTTGAGGTAAAAGTTTTTGAAAATGACGAATTTTTTAAAAATTTCACTTTATCTTATGTAATTTTAAAAATAAATAATTTGACTATGCATAAAATCTCAATTCCATAAAAAGGATAGATTCTTATCTCTGTTGTAAAAGTGGTTAATTTCATTCGGTCTAAAGGACTTAATCACAGGCAATTTCAACAGCTGAGTGATTGCGGGGAAAGATGCTTCAGCGCCTGTTTTATTTGAAGAGCGAAGTTCAACAATTCATAGAATCTAAAGGGAAATCTATTCAAAAGTTCAGCGATGAGAAATGGTTGAGAGACTTTGCACTTCTTATCGATATTACAGGTCATCTCAATGATTTGAGCTACCGCTTACTGGGAAAAGATCTACTTGTTCATAATCTTTATTACTTTGTGAAAGCTTTTGAAACAAAATGAATTCTGTGGGAAAGTCAGTTGCTAAAATAAGAATTCCACTCACTTTCCAAAATTGATGGAGTGTGTGAGCAATTCAACAACATAGAATTCAAGTAATTATGCATGTTGCATTTCAAATTTAAAAGAGGAATTCAAAAGCAGATTTTCCGATTTTCATGAACATGAAATTTTTATGAGAATGTTCTCCTCACCATTTTTAGTAGACGTTGGAAGTGTTCCAGCTGAACTTCAAACATAATTTATAGAATTCAAACAGAATACTTCACAGAATGATTCTTCAAGCAGAATAAACAGAATAATTCTTCAAACAGAATTTGCAATGTGACTCTGTAGTAAAATGCAAGTTTCTTGAAAATCCTACATTAATTGATTTTTATTCAAATTACGTGACCAAAGACAAGTAGCCAGGAATTCGTAAACATGCACTCTTCATATCTCTAACTTTGGCAATAGCAACATGTGTGAACAGCTTTTTAGTAAAATGAAAATGAAAAACAAGAACACGGGTGACGGACAGACATTTGGAGGAAACTTTATAAATTGCAACAACACATTAGATCGGATATTGAAGCTTTAATTAAGCGAAAACAATGTCATATTTCACATTAAAACTAAGGTAACTACCATCTCCCACCAGTAAGTGGTTGGTTTTTTTTTTTTTTTTTTTTTTTTAAATTGTAGATGCTTTTGACCTCTTCTGTAAATCATTATCCTCATTTTTTCTAGTTAAAAAATTGCAAAATTTTTAATTGATTCCATTTGACTTTTGGAACAATGCATATATAGTATATACAAATGTGTAATTATCTCTTCGCTTAGCAATTGTAGTCTTGCAAAACGTTCACTTTTTATATAAATTTTCTGACTACACTTTTTTTGACAGACATGTGGCCCACGGATCTTTGTGATTATTGATGTGGCCCTCCAGGCATTAAGGTTGAAGACCCATGGTAGAACAGTTAATTCATTCAAGTCAAACAACAAAAATCAGGTTATATTACAAAATTTCACAGACTAGTTTTGATGTTTTAGAACCACCATCTTCAGCTGCAAACCGCATGAACAAGATAGGAAATGATAAGATAAGAAAGCGGACAAGAATAAGCAGTGGCGCCATCTGTTGGCGAAACCAGAACTTAAACATAATTTCTCTAAAGCCGAAGGCAA